CATATGGTGCACCACCAGGACCATATGGTGCACCACCAGGACCATATGGTGCACCACCAGGACCATATGGTGTACCCCCCGGAGCATATGCTGCACCTCCCGGAACATATGGTGCACCTCCTGGAGCATATGGTGCACCTCCCGGAGCATATGGTACACCTGGTGGATATGGTAGACCAAGCGCACCCGTTAGATATGGTGGTGGTCAGCCTAATATGCCCGGTGGCGTACCTCATGGTAGACCCGCTGGACCACATACCGGACCTAGTGGCGGTCAATATGGTGTGCCTGGTAGATCTGAAGGTTCTCAATGAAAAATTTATTCACAAACATATCACTATTATTATTTACATCATCTTTTTTTAATAATTACACAACATGTTATTTTATTAATAAATTGTTGACTTGTAGATTTTTGGTATTACTTGTGGGAGGTTATATCGGGCTTTTTATCTGCACTAAAATAGAATTTAGTTTCTATATTTACGAAAAAGACATAACAAGCATCATTAGAGGCTATTTAATTATCTGAATAATTACTATATGTTTTCAGATTTTTATTCATCTTTCACAAACAATTGTGAAGTCTTTAGTCGTTGATAAATTATGTTTTCTTCACAAAACAGAGGTTTTTAATAGAAAAAAAAGTATCCGATTTGATATTTTTATTATACTTTTAGTCATCATCAATTATACGGTGTGGTTGTGTGTATCGAAAAATTTTACAAATTGAATGTTAAATAACAATAAATTGTATCGATATATTTTTAATGTATTCAGTTAATCATTTTTATGCATAACAATACGCCTATCTATAAATTCTCTTCTATAATTTCACTGAATAGATCGTATTTTATTTATATTTATTAATGAAATGAATCAGATATATTCTTACTGATAATAGATAATCAATGTTAATTGATTTAATTTACTTATAATCTACAAAGTGACCCAAAAGTCATTTTCCTAAGAAAAAAACCGAATAGCTCTTGTGGCTCGACAAAATAAGGCTCATTTTTTTTACCAAGGATCGAAGTATGTTTCCATTTCAAATTCATACGAAGAAGGTTAGTGAGCACCTTTGTTAAATATCATTTTTGGTATCAACAAGAAAATTTTTACTTTTTCATAGATAGGAAAAGAAAACAATGTACATAACAAAATTCCTCATTAAAGTTATCCGTTATTTTATAAAAATGAGTAGCCGAAGATCGTGATAGCTCAACAAGGTATTTATAAACTTTATGAAATATGTTCATCACTGTTTTTTTATTTTACGCTAACAATTCAATTTTAAAATAGGAATTGAACCGAATAAATACTAATACGTTTTATCTCATTAATTTATGGAATCAGTCGGACTGATATCAAGGTTATATTACAAAATATTAATAAACAGATTGAATCACATATTTTACAGTAAAAATATTAGATAATATCAGAAAGTAACAATGCAGTATTTATTGATTCATATTAGTTACTAAGTAAATTGATTATCACAATTATGACGGTATTCTTTTGGAAGATGGGTCTATGAGTATTAAATAGAATCGTTAAAAAAATATTGGAACAGGAAATTATGTATTGTTTTTGAAATTCATTAAAGGCTAATCAAGTTTTGAAAAAAAAATTATAACTCGTTCTATCTAATAGCATCATATTTGTATATCAGCTATAACTTTCTTTCAGTTAAAGCAATACTATTCTTCTTGAAAAAAACACAAAATATATATTCTTTCGGGCAGACATCGTTCATGCATATCTTATTTATCAATTAAATAAATGATTTATAATATATAACTAATTCTTGAATAAAGTATGTTGGTAAACGTAGGCAATTCAAGATATTTACTTGCACATCAAGTTATACTTCAAGCAAGCGATACTGGATTTATGAAAAAATATATTACTAAAATCTACTATAATCATGAAGTTTGTCTCGTTCTGATAATTTAAATAAAAGTACAATGAATAAAATTCAAAAAAAAGCTATTTAAAAAGAATCATTCTATTGAAGATCGAATATTTTTGTGTACCTTAGTGTCAGTAATGAAACAATTGTTTAATAGGTTATATACCTAGTGAATTTAAACAACGGTTTTCATCTTAGAAAATTATTCATCTTTACTCTCATGAAGATGAAAAGTCAAAGACAAGCAATCCCGGATAATATCTGTTTATACCCAGGATTTTCATCTATAAACAAATGACTAAAGCAATCTACTTGATATTGTAACAACACAAGCATATATGATGAATTATCGAGAGATTTGTACTGGTATGGCTCTTCTTTGATGCCGGATATTTATCCATATTTTTAAGGTAAAAAAAAACCACTTTAATCTACCTCACACAGATTCATAATGTTATTAGAAATACTTATCAATTTATGATTTATATAATTAATTTATTTTACTTTTTGATAATGGTAGCATTGTTTTGTTAAATAAACTGTGAATTGTTGCTATCTTCGAACAAATTTGAACGAAACTGTAAGCTGTAATATAATTGCTATTATTAAATTTGATTAATAAAAATAATCAAAGTAGTGCAACAATTCTATAGGATATCTTAGTGTATCTTTACTATATTACATTGATATCATTGTCCATTGATAAATCACTATTTTCGGCACACAGAAAACTAACTATGAACATCGATTTAATAGAAATAGTTACATTTTCATTGGACGTCACAATACGAAAAAGAATCGACTATTTGCCTTTTTTCATAAACAATAAAATAACAAAATTTATTTCACAACTCATATTGACAACCATTTGTTGTTACACTTTAGAATACATATTTTTCAATAACAAACGATTTATATTTGAATAACAATGTTTGTGAATGATGTTGTTATTAATTTTATACTTTTTTTAAAAGCAAATTCCTTTGAAAAGCTCAACAAATGCACATTTCAACATACAGAAATATATTCTTTTATTGATTCTTTTTTGATCGAGAAGTAATTTCAAACAATGTGAGAAATAATTTGTCAATCTTCATCAGTGTTGCTAGTTACATACGTATTTTAAGATACAAAACACAAGCGAAAAAATATGAAATCTTATAAACCCTCGTGATGACAATATGTTAAAAGTTATTCATAATTGTGATGCAGTTATTGTCAACATTGAAAGGATAATCATTCAACGCTTTAGGCTAACAAAATGGTGAATACATATACATCAGAAACGAACAAAAGGTAATCAGCATGGCAGAGAAAAATGCAAATACGCAATTAGTCGATTTTCTATCATCGTCTCTTATAAAAGTAAAAACAAGGTCAACGCCCACCTCCCAACAACAGTACAAACATTTCTTGTAAATATTATTGAAAAGAATAGAGTATATATAGGCTCATAAATCGTTGAATAATTTATTACAACTAAAAAAAGTAAACGCGAATATATTTTAACAAATATGTCTAATCAACAACAGTATCAAGGTAAATCATTTAAAAAGATTATTATTTTAAGTTGTCGAAAGAATTTGAAATATAATACTAGTATTAGTTTTCTAATCCTTCATGATAAGTTCTTTCTACTAACTCAAAGTTCTACAGATTTATTATAGTAACGTAAATTGTATAGATACCATAATATTTTTTATAATACAGTTTATCCCATTTAACTATACAAAACTGAATGTGAATGACCAGAGAATCTGCATATTACAGTGATATATATCAATGTTTATTTTATGTTTTGTAGAAGGCGAGGGCGGTCGTGGTGGTGAGGGTGGTCAAGGTGGTCAAGGAGGTTTTGAAGGTGGCCAGCGTGAAGGACACCATGGTCATCATCATCATCATGGAGGTCAAGGCGGAGGACAAGGCGAATGTGGAGGACAAGGCGAACGTGGCGGTGAACGTGGAGGACAAGGTGAATGTGGAGGCCAAGGCGGAGGACAAGGCCAATTTGGTGGTGAACGTGGAGGACAAGGCGAATTTGGCGGTGAACGTGGTGGACAAGGCGAACGTGGAGGACAAGGTGAATTTGGTGGTGAACGTGGTGGACAAGGCGAACGTGGAGGACAAGGTGAATTTCGCGGTGAACGTGGCGGGGAAGGTGAACGTGGAGGCCAAGGAGGTCAAGGAGACCAGTACTGAAAATACTATGAAGATCATCTTCCCGTATTAACATTCTTATTAGTTTACTCGTCCATAAAGAATGAGAACT